AATGAGAAGCAGTCTGATGATTTCTTCAGGGCCTGCTAATTTGCAGATGCACACGGACGGAAGCATGGTGTCGCCCAATGTGGCGCCTTTCATAAAATATACTCAATTCAATTTTCACGATCATTAAGTGCGCTCGCAATATTGATAAAACTAAGCTCAAATTCCTATCGCCAACAAAAATATCTCATAAACACTAATCGCTTGTACTCGACATGCTCCTCAGACGAACATATCATATAGCATCTTAAAAGGTGACCCGCAAAGGCTGTCCTCTTCGGGAAGTTGAAACACAGACCCCGCTAAACCCGGCTGCAGCAAGGAAACTAGCAGGTTCGAAGTATAGAAATGTAGATAACAATTTGTTTTCTGTACGAATACTGTTAAAGCTACTTTTTTCATGACCCACGCAAATTCAATTAGTCAACAAAGCACGTATTCTACGAAAGTTTACTGAAACTTAGTAGGCAACATTACTATTCGCCTTGCAACATCTGTTTGGAGGTGCCAAGATCGCAAAGACATCAAACAGGATGGATACATCCTGAAACAGATCGGTGTACAATTACCTACTACTGTTTCCTTTTCTTTCCACTCCTTCAAGCACATCGAATTTATATAACTCGTCTCCTTTCCCTGCACCAACGGGTTTTAGCAAAACGTGGAAAGCAACTTTTATGTTAGAGCTGCGCGAAGTCAAGTCGGCAGGTGTTGTCCATATGAACTGCCTTTTATGCGACATTTATGTGAACATAAGCAAGGATTAATGCCTAACAAAAATGAGATGCACAATGATAAATATCAGAGCCACACCTGCAATACGTAAATTCGCACAGATGTCAGAAGTGAAATGGTCGTTCTTTTATGACACGGTGCACTTCAATTTGCTGATATGATCAGATGGTTAGTACAACAATGGCAAGGAAAATCAAAGTTAGGTCATATATGTAAATAAAACAGACAAGGCAAAACTCTCTGGTAGGACCTAAGAGAGGGGGCTAGAAATGGCATTGCGGCCAAATGGCTTGCAGGCATTTGTTTTCTACATAAGGAAGCAC